GACAAAATTCTCACTCCTGAACATTACGTCCATTAATTAATGGCGATCACTACTTGATCCATGAACCAACACGAAGATAATCCTCCACGAGAGGAGGAGGTTGTTCCCCCGCCTGCCAACCCTGTTCCGGATACTTTGCCCCCGAATCCCCAACAAATATTGGAGACCATGCAGCAACTGGTTGCTCAAAACCAACAGTTACTGCAACTCATACTTGCAGGACAAGGAGGAGCACCACACGGAGGTGCACAGCATGGAGGACCCCAAGGTGGAGCACCACACGGAGGTGCACAACGTGGAGCACCACATGGAGGTGCACAACATGGAGGGCCCCACAGAGGTGCACAACATAGAGCACCCCAAGGAGCTCCACATCCTGGACATCAAGGAGCACCACGCCCTGTTGCTCCACGCCCGGGTGCCCCATTGGGCACCCCACTTCAGGAAGCCCAACATGAGGGAGCTGCACCTCCCCCTCCCCTTGCTTTCCAGGGAGAGGACCCTTATCTCCAGGAGGATGAGGGTGAAAACCAAAGCATGGGGCATGGAAGCCACTTCCATGATCATTCCAGAGGAGCCCCCAATCATTGGGACGAGAAGATAAAGGAGGTACAAAATCAACTCGGTGATGTCTTCAACGCCATGAAGGCACAGGGACCCGAGACTGTTGACCACCTGGTAAGGCGTACTGATACCCCTTTCAAATCTGATGTAGCAAACTACCCCCTCCCTCAGAAGTTCAAAATGCCATCTGTGGAGACCTTTGATGGAACAAAGGATCCACTGGACCACCTCGACACTTACAAGACCTTGATGCAATTGCACAACGTACCAGACGAAATCATGTGCAGGGCATTCCCAACCACATTAAAGGGGTCTGCCCGACAGTGGTTTGCTAAGCTCTCCCCCGCCTCTATTGCCTCTTTCGCCGAGCTTAGCAGATCATTCGTCTCACACTTCATAGGAGGGCGTCGCCACCAGAAACCAGTTACGCACCTGCTTAGTATAAAGCAGGACCGCGAGGAGAGCCTGAGGAGTTACCTCACTCGTTTTAACGAGGAGGTACTCCAAGTTGATGAACCTGACGACAAGGTGACAATGACCGCTTTCTTGGGTGGCCTCCGTTCATCAAGTTTCCTTTTCTCAGTTCTGAAGCGCCCACCGAAGAGCATGCCAGAGCTGCTAGCCAAGGCCCAAAAATACATAAACGCAGAAGATATCACAAGGGCCAGGCGGGGTGAGTCTTCCAGAGCTGGTGAGAAAAGGAAGGAAAGAGAGAAGGACGATAAGAAGGAAACCAGCAACAAATATGGCAGGACAGAGAAAGTCCCTGTCAAGGACCGGCTAGGTCCTGCTCCTCAGAGGAACCGTCAACCTTTCACTCCCCTCAATGCTTCCGTGGAACACATCCTATTCCAGATCCAGGATGACCCCGCGATAAAGTGGCCTGGAAAAATGAAGTCTCCTCCAAATCGCAGAAATCCTAACAAGTATTGCCGCTTCCATCGTGATCACGGGCATGACACCGACGATTGCTACGACCTCAAGAGGCAAATTGAGGAGCTCATCCAGCGTGGTCACTTGCGTCAATACGTTGCTGGAAGGGAACGTGAACCACAACCTCACAACCAGGAAGATCAGCAGCCTGTGGGGGAAATCCACACTATCTCGGGGGGACTAGCAGGTGGAGGAGAATCACTTTCCGCGATGAAGGCTCATGCCAGGAAGGCAAGACATGTCTACGAGATGCGCCCATCTAAGGTGCCGAAGCAGGAAAGCGACGAGGTCATATCTTTTTCAAACAAGGACCTGGAGGAAATCCAACACCCCCATGATGACCCCTTGGTGCTCACCATGACGGTGGCCAACTTTCATGTGCACAGGATCCTGGTAGATAGTGGCAGCTCTGCAGATATCCTATTTGCAGAGGCCTATGACAAGCTCAATCTGGGCAGGGAGAGGCTACAGCCAATCAGGTCACCCCTCATTGGATTCTCAGGGGAAAAGGTGTATCCCCTTGGATCCATCACACTTCCCGTCACCGCCGGAGTAACACCCCGAAGTTCCACAGTCATGGTCAATTTCCTGGTAATAGAATGCCCGTCGGCCTACAACATCATATTAGGGCGACCAGCTCTTAACACATTAAGAGCTGTGCCCTCTACCTACCATCTCGTTCTCCGCTTTCCAACCTTAAATGGAGTCGGAGAGGTCAAAGGGGACCAAATAACAGCCAGAGAGTGCTATGTATCCTCTATGAAGGCTAGGAAGCCCCAAGAAGCATTGCAAGTTGAGGTCCTTGACCCAAGGGATGACTCCGCCACAGAAAGAGGAGAACCAGTCGAGGAACTCATCCCTGTGGTCTTAAAAAAGGAGCACCCAGACAGAAGAATTTACATTGGCTCTTCCCTTTCTGAAGAGCTGGCTCCCCTGTTGATTGAATTTTTGGAGCATAATATGGACATCTTTGCTTGGTCGCATGAGGACCTTGAGGGCATCAACCCGGAAGTAGCTACCCACCACCTCAATGTCGATCCGCGGTACAAGCCTGTTCGCCAAAAGTTAAGGGGAGCCTCCACTGAAAGGGCCCAAGCCATGGACAAGGAGATTCGAAAGCTGGTTGATAACGGAGCAGTCAGGGAAGTGGCGTATCCAGAGTGGCTCTCCAACGTAGTAATGGTCACTAAGGCTAATGGGAAGTGGCGTCTCTGTGTCGACTTCACAGAACTGAACAAGGCATGCCCAAAAGATAGTTATCCACTGCCGCGGATTGACCTCCTCATCGACGCCACCGCTGGGCATGAGTTGCTCACTTTCCTGGATGCATACTCGGGGTACAACCAGATTAGCATGCATCCCCCAGACCAAGAGAAGACATCATTCATCACGCCAAAGGGGACATATTGCTACAGGGTCATGCCCTTTGGGCTAAAGAACGCTGGAGCAACCTACCAACGGCTGGTGAACAAGATGTTCCAGTCTCTGATCGGGCAAACAATGGAGGTGTACGTGGATGACATGCTGGTAAAGAGCCTTGCAGCAGTAGACCACATTGATCACCTCCAAAAAACTTTCAACGTCCTGAGGTCCTATCACATGAAGCTCAACCCTGAGAAGTGCGCCTTTGGTGTGGGGTCTGGTAAATTCCTGGGCTTTATGGTCAATCAGAGGGGAATTGAGGCAAACCCTGACAAGATCAAGGCCATTCTTGACATGAAGTCACCCTCTTCAACCAAAGAGCTCCAGCGCCTCAATGGAAGGATCGCAGCATTAAATAGGTTTGTCTCCAAATCTGCAGATAAATGTCTCCCCTTTTTCAAAACTCTCCGAAAAGCC